GCATGCATCCTGGTCAGATCAAATGTGCCTAACACTGTGAGATGGGTAAGTTATCCAGCAAATGCTTGGGATGTGCACTATGGCAGTGAAGAATAGTATTGCGATCAGTGGGCTTGCTAAACACAGAGTGTTTAGCAAGTATCAGGCCTCCTGTGATGGTTATTAATACATCAAGGAAGGTGATGTGAGTATCATGAATCTCAGGGTAAAACACTATGTAAACATACATAAAGGGTATACATACATTTCTTCCAAAAAACAAAGAGTCAAATTAGCAAAGGGTGGTGCAGCAGAGCTGCTCATCGCTGTGCCCCTGGTTTGCAAGAACGGCTGGTTTTCAAACATAATAAAATTGTGCTCAAATATAAACTGTAACTAAGATAGGACAGTCTCAGTAGGCATGGTATCATGCCTGTTCACTCTCAGGAAATGTTTCACGGCCTTCAGGCCCACTGCGTTGGGGATGCAGGTGTACAATGAGGAGATGTCCATTGTGGCCAACCACCAATCAGTATCAGTCACCTCAAACTGTGAAATTTTTTGTAGCAAGTCACTGGTGTCTCTCGTACGCAGGTAATGTTCTCACCAAAGGTAGCAATATAATGTCGATCACCTTTGCCAAAGGCTGCGTATATACAATAATGTGCACAGCTAAAATAGTACACGTCTTATACAATATAACATATATAAATACATCACATATGTGGGCCTTAAATCAAATAAGGCATGAAGAATATCTAGAAAAGCAAAAAAAATGAAAAAGTCTCAAAAAAGAACAATGGTTATCGTGCAAGAAAATTCCTCAGATGATCCACAGCCAATCTGCATAAGACTCTCAGGTAAGGATTACCACACAATGCAGGCAAACCTTCACCTCCACCCAGTGAGTATTAACCTCTTGCCGTCCGCCCGTAGTAAAAAAAACGGATGGACGGCACTGCTGCATTGGCGGGTTGCCGTCGCCAGGTGGCATTTTTTTTCTGCTCGCGCGGGCCCCCTGGCGGGCACGCACGGGCAGAAAAGACCCGACCATTGCACACACGCGTTACCGGGTGTTTCACATATAGGCGGTCAGCGGCTCCATAGCCAACCGATCGTCTATATGAGCTTGTTCGCGTCCGCCGAAAAGCCGAGCAGCGGCGGCGGCGATCACGTTCAGCAGTAGGAGCCACTGCTCGTTCAATACGAGTGATCTAATGAGATCACTTGTATTAAAACCGAGCAGCGGCGACGATTGAGATCACCATAGAGCAGACGAAGAACAGACTTTCTTCGTCTGCTCTGTGTGATCACTGAGACCGTGGCGCTGTAATCACAGCGCCACCTGTCTCAGCGCTCACTAACTGCAGCTTCTGTCATAGAAGCTGTGACAGAAGCTACTGTCTGTCGAGTGCTCCATAAGGCGCGCTGGACCTCCCTGCGTCCTATGGTCCGGTGTGTCTTATGGACCGCAAAATACGGTAATAGCAATAACAATAAGTGCAAACAAATAAATATAAATTAAAAAAAATGAAAGTAACATAAAAAAGTAAAATAAAAGTCACATATAAAAAAAGGGGAAAAAACTCCCCCAAAATGTTTAACTCCCCCACCCCCACGTTTACGCGCTGTGAGATTTAGCTTCCAATGGTAGCGCATTAAGGACGCATCCACTCGCTGCAATCTTCATTCAAGGGCTTCCTTGCCCACTTTTATTAAATGAAAGTTCATAAAAACAGAACAATTACCCTCGCAGGGGTTCTTTAGCATCTCATGGCAGCACATGCCCATCAAGCCTCCTGGCTTTGCATTTGCAGCACCGCTGCTCCGGCCTCAGCCCACTGTCTGTTCCTCCAGACAGCCTCAGTCATGTGCTAACCTGCACACTGGGGGATTCTTCCCAATCCGCAGCACCTTGCTGCACTGGACTTCCTGTCTCCCAGGTGGAGTCTTGAACCCTTCCCAATAACTTTAATTTAAAGGCTGTGCACACCTGTGCCATCAGCATGCGCTGGCCACTCAGATTCTGGACACAGGAATGGAGATAACGCAGTGGCATTGCCGTATAAACGTATAAACGTAAATATGCGTCCGGTGCCCCAGCGTGCAAAAATTACAATTGCTACACATGTTACATATCGCCGCGAACGTCGCAGTGAGAGCAATCATTTTAGGGCCATCAATCACTGATAACACTAAACTGATGAGCGGTAACAGCTTTTAAAGCGTCGCCTATGGCCAATTTTGGGTATTATCGTTTTTTGAGGTTTCGCGCGCGCACGCAATTTTAAGGCTTGACATGTTTGGTGTCTTTTTACCCGACGTGACCCCATCTTTTATATTTTACCAAAAAATTGGGTAATAATAAATGTTTTATCATTTAATATAGGGGAAACTGTTTTTTTTTTTAAATTTCGGTAATTTTTCCTTAATATAGTAAAAAAATAAAACCCCCAGTGGTGAATAAATACCACCAAAAGAAAGCTCTATCTGTCCCCAAAAAAGGGTATAAAATTCATTTCAGTACAGCGCTGCATGACGGAATAAATGTCAGTCAAAGTACCGCAGCGCTGAATACTGAAAAATGGTCGGGATGGGAAGGGGGTTTAACACCGCGGATGTCAACTGGTTAATAAGTTGGTGCTCACCTGGGGAGGTAGACCCGCATGTAGACCCGCATATTTTAGCTGTGCACATTATTGTATATACGCAGCCTGATCGCATTTTCGGCCGATATGTTTCGGTGCCCGATATATCGGTGCATCACTACTTATTTCACATTTACTTACTGGCGCTGATCACTTTATTGTTTATTTATTACCCTAACACATAGGTTTGAATGTATCCTAAGTGCATTTGAGGTTCCATTAAAAATTAAATTGTGCTTGATGCTAAAGATTCTCCACCAAGCTTACCTTTTCAAAACAGTGGGGACTAGTAGCATGGGACAAGTAAGTAATAAACCTTTGTTTGGATTTTTTTCAATAGCAACAAGAGTGGTCTATTTATTAACGTTTTCACACAACTTTCACCCAAGATTCACATTTTGTAATTAGATTCCATTGGAACAATTTGTAAACGTTATGTGACTCTTGTGTGAAAGCATTTAACAAAAGACATGATAAAACAATCAGTTACCTAGGATAATCAATTACCTACATAGGACACAGAAGGGTTAAGCAGTCTGCTGTAGTGGCATACAAAACCACTAAAAGACAATGAAAAAATTACTAAGAGTCGCTCATACAATACAGAAAAACAAAAACTATTGTAAACATACACACATCTGTAGTATAAAGGTCCATATATCTACTGACACTATAAAGTCATACATGGGTAACTTCTTCCTCCACCTGAAATTGCATGCCTCTACCCCTAACTGATAAAGTTGCTAACCCCTGTTGGTCCATTCACCTCTACACAGAAGCACACAGTGTATCTTACCGGATTGTATGACCTTGTAAAAGTGGTCATACACCTTACAACCATTGTACAACTTTTTTTGGTCCCGACATTGCACCCACGTTCAATTTTCGTTCACACAGTCCATCATGCACAGACCAATGTAGTTCGCAATTATCGTTCGTCAGCACCATTAACTGGGTGATTTTCGTTGTTCGAACGACCAAATTTTAATTTGAGCATGTGCAGTTTTCATTTTGAACGCCACTAATCCGTCCATTTTCGTCCAACTAGACAAAAATTTTCTAGGCTGCTTGAAAGACGAATATCGGCCAGTTGTACAGTAACTGCTGTTGTGCACTGCCCATAAACTGGCCGATTTTTGGATGAAAACGCGATTGCACCCCAAAATCGGCTGATAATTGTAAGGTGGTAAGTGCTCAGTGGCCATAGGATTGTATGTCCATAGAATTGTATGGACAGAAAACGCTGTCCGTGGGGCTCAGTGGCCATAGAATTGTATGGACAGAAAACGCTGTCCGTGGGCGCCTTTAGAAATACTTCTATTTGGAAGCAATAGAGCAACCTTTCTGAACTTCTAGCTTCCTCAGGGGAGCCTTGAAATATTGTCATGGTAGGTAGCATGGTAGGATGTGCAAGGGGGTTTCTTATGTGAAAAGGGCTTCTGATGTTAAAGAGGGAGGGTTCTAATGTGAAAGATGGGGGGCTCCTGATGTGAAAGTGGTGGCTTCTGATTTGAGGGATGGGGGGGTCTCCAGATGTGAAGGGGGAGGCTTCTGATGTGAAGGATGGGGGCTGCTGATGTGAAGGATGAGGGTGGGGGGCTGATGTGAAAGGAAAGGCTTCTAATGTGAAGGATGGGGAGGGGGGCTCCAGATGTGAAGGCGAAGGTTTCTTATGTGAAAGACGGGGGGCTCCTGATGTGAAGGGGGAGGCTTCTGATGTGAAGGATGGGGGCTGCTGATGTGAAGGATAAAGGGAAACTCCTAATGTGAAGGGGGAAGCTCTTCATGTGAAGTATGAGGGGGCTCCTGATATGAAAGGGGAGGCTTCTGATGTGAAGGGGGGCTCCTAATGTGAAGGAGGAGGCTTCTGATGTGCATTATGTGTGTCTTTGCGTGGGGTCCCCCATTTTAGACAGGGATGCCTCGAGGTTTTAGAGGGTGCCACGACTGAAAAAAAGTTGAGAAACAGAGGGTATCCAGCCTGATAAATAGACCCCAAAATGTTTCTTTGTAAAAATGTGCACATTTGCATAGAAAACTGGGGACAAAAAAATAACAAAGAAGAACTGATACAAAACATCCATTTAAAAGTGTAAGCACTTTGAAGAACAAAAAATATATAATAAAACAGACTTCAAGCCATACAATGTCAGATCCTTCCAGAGTACAGTCATTGACGATTGTCTTTAGATTTATGCATGTAACTTATATCAGGATAATGAAATACTGTAAAATGAAAAGTGTGACACGCATCAGACATCATGTAAGCTGTAGATTGCTGCAGATCATCATCTGGACCTGTTATTGTGATCAATGACACTGCCTAAGTACACAAGCACAGAGTGACAGCAGACCTCCTCTCAATATAGCACATTCCCCTCTCCTGTATTTCTAAGACCCCCTCTCCAGATCTGTCACATGACTGTGATGTCATCATAGGTCCTTTCTCTTCCAGAAATCTAGCAGCTTCTCTGGGTAACAAAAAAGAAGACAGATCCCTTAATGTGACCAGCATTTGGATGCATAATCCCACAGATTGCCATCAGGACAGTCCTGCTGCAGAGGAAGGTAGGGGGGTTTATTGAAGCATTATTAGGGGGAGATGGTGTGTGTATTACTGAGGAGGATCGAGCTGCAGGAGCTGTTTCAGCATCAGCACCATCTCAGAGCATCCATGCAAAACTGACAGGAGGGCACAATACTGCTTTCTGAATCAATACTGAGGATGCTGGATGGGTTCTATAAACCAGATCTGATTGCTAGTAATTACTATTTTCTGTGTTCACTTTCCTCTTAGTATAAACTGTAATCCCACTGCTGCTGTGCCTGCTGGATAAACCATAAAACACTAAACTCCATTCAAATGTTGATCAAAAATATAAAAAGTGTATGCTTGCCTTAGGGCTCATTCACATGGACACAAATACAGATGTATGAGCATACAGCATAACATGCAGCTGTATTTGCAGTGCTTATAGGATTGTATGTCCATAGAATTGTATGGACAGAAAATGCTGTCCGTGGGTAGACGTATGTTAACATAAGTACCAGCATTAACACGTGCACCAATATGCATGTGCATGTTTACACACATGTACCTGCATACACCCATGTACGGACTTTCCCATCCATGCAATCTTCTGGGCGCAAAGACGCAGCAGCTGAGGCTTGCGGGTGACACAAATACAGGCGTATTTTACATTGTATGTCCACACACCTGTACTGGCATCAATGTGAATGAGCCCTTTTCACAGTACCACTCACAATATACTTTACTGCTGTCATGGTGACTTCAGATTGGTTGCTATTAGTTACTATAGCTTGCTTTTTGCCTTAATGAATAAGACACATAGGGGTTGAGTTACTTACAGAGTTTAGGATGTTCATTTTGCAGAATTTCCTCTTCACTTAGTGAATTTAGTGAAAATTCACTTAGCAAAGAATACCCAAGGAAATATATAAAAAAAAAATAAAAAACAGTATTTTTGTTGTACGATTGAATGAGGGAAGTCGCCTTATTCATTAAGCTAAAGTTCCTTGCAATGTGACCAGCCTATATTCCTTTACTACAGGGGATAAGCAACTTCGGTCCTCCAGCTGTGCTTTAACTACAAATCCCAAGATGCCTCTGCCTCTGGGAGTCATGCCTGTAACTGTCAGTCTTGTAGTGCCTCATGGGACTTGTAGTTCCACAGCAGCTGGAGGGCCCGGGGTTGCTCACCCCTGCTTTAGTAGATTAACCCCCATAGTGTTCTTGTATGTGAGGGCGTGAGGTAAAAGCATTGTGTAATCTTTGATTTTGTGTTTACTCAATTTGTTTATCCTGCGTGAAAATGTTTTACTTGGTAACAACATTACAGGGTAATGTCAAATATTTCAGACTAGCCGTCACCTAGTGTAAAATATTTCTAGCATTTGATCGCCTTTAGCTAAATTTGTTTAGATGATTTTTCTCTTTTTGTTTATTTGCTGTTAACGAATACACAACATCACAAAATCTTGTCAGCAATCTGCTTCTAGTACTACTCCTTCTGTCCTGCCTCTCAGCATCTCTGCATCCAGGTCCCATTTCCGATCTGGTCACATGACTGTGATGTAATTCGAGGTCCTGTCTGCTGCAGATTTCTGTATGACAGGAGATCCACTGCTTTATGTAATCAGGGCTTTGGTGTGCATTCACGGGGGTGGAGGGGGCTCAGATGTTAAGGCATGGAGGAGATGCTTGCTTGCTGATTGCTGGCTGTCCTAAACTGCTAGACAAAGAGCAATGATGGAGCTGTTTCAGCACCACCTCTATGGACTATTGTGAAAGAGTCAGGAGAAAGCAACTTAGAAGTGTCAGAGAACTGTATGTAGAATACAGTCAGCTCAGGCCAGTCAGGCCAGACTTTAACTCAATTTCTTATATTATCTCATGATAGTTGACTCAGAATAGTAAGAAACATAAATACTATTATTATTCAGCTTAATGTATTAAGATGAAATATATATATATATATATATATATATTTATATTTTTTGTGTACCCAGTCTCTAAAGTCTCATATTTTTTTATAAGTAGTTTCAAAAGTCATTTTCAATATTTTAAAACTGCAGCCTTCTCTAAAATTATACCTGGCCAGAGATGTCATTAGAACAGATTAGCCCCATACCCACAGGAATTAAAATACATGCGTTGTAGTTAATTTCTAAACACGCCTGGAAGCATGTAATACTTTGCTATGACTGAATAAACATGAAGACCTTTAGTAACATCTAGGTGTATTCAGTCTAGTTGCATTTACATTTTACACAAACAAGCTTTTTCTGCTTCCCAGGACAGTTTAGCCTGGTTTTATTCAGCTAAATGCATGTTACCGCATGAAAAACACATCTAAACCCAGGAAAATGTGATCTGCATAACAGTTGTTTATACTTCCCAGATAACTTCTCTATTGTTTAAAGCAGGAGGCCATATGCATGGGGAGACAAGGAAGTGGTGCACGCTGCAGGAAAAGCCAGTGTGGTTTATTACAAACGGTGAAGAGAGGACCTGTAAATGTCCACAGTGAATAAAGATGTTGAGCAGATATAGTAAATGATTAAGCAAATAGGAACAAAAGCCAAAACTTACTTTTAGGAAGTGTTAATTGCAGTGTTTATGCAGAATGTATATGAAGAATACGCATAATTATAGTAGAACTACACAGTAGCGTACATAGAGAATAAGCACAGATTTGAGAATTACGCCGGACATATAAAACAGGAGAAGTGACACATCTATACATACAGAATAAGTACAGATCATAAGGATTAGACCAGCATACAGAACAAGAAAAGCAGTACTATGTACAGAACATACAGAGAACCAAAATAATAAATAAATGCAGTTTGGATAACACAAAAAGGTAGCACTATGCTATATGTCCACAAGTAAATAGTATTTAATTTTAGAACCAGTAACTAAAACGGCAACATTTACCGCATTTTAAACATATGAACATATCAGGACTGTCTTGCTCAACAGGGGTTACCTGGCAGACTTCCTTGTGTCACTACAACTAAGCCTGCCGTCTGAACAAAAGTGAAGGTCTGAACTTCCCACAATGTAACATCATTGTTGCTTTCTGGTAGCAATGCATGCAAGCAATGCATGATTTAGTCTTGAGAAATCAAGATTACATCACATCAAGCAGCAGGGAAAGAGACGCAAAACACACAGGGAATCCAGGAAGTTGTTGAAAGTGATGGGCAGATGGAAGGCAGCATTCACAACATAAAAGACATTCTTAGTAAGCTTTGATTGCATTATCATAAATAACTATAGTATGTATTCCTATTACAGTGCCAATGTTGGAACACAATAGTATATGCTGGGACTTTAGAACTCCTTTTAGGCCCTGTTCACATGATTTTCAGGTCCGGATCAGGTGCGGATCGGCAGACGCAGTGCTATGTGTTTTGCCGCGTTTTGGATGTGTTCCAGTAAAAAAAAAAAAATATATATTTTTTTTTGCTGGAGTGGGGCTATCAGTATGTTAGCTGCAGTGCAGTGCGTTTTTGACGCTTTTTTACACGTTTTGCATTTCCGGACCGTACAAAATGTGACATGCAGTATTCTTTCTGTAGTAACCTGAACGGACTACGCACGTGAGAACTGTAGCCCATAAAACACATGGGGATACATTGGGATGCATTTTTAGTGCAGGAGCGTACGGATCAGGTCAGCACAGAAAACGGACGTCGTGTGAACAGGCCCTTAAGAAGAGGAATGCAGTATAATGTGTGGTGGAAGCAGTGGAGTTACAGAGTACTTTTGAGTTTCATTTTGAGTGCCCTGTCCGGAAAGTGACAAAGCACTAATTAGCCCTAAGAAAATGTAGAATAGAGAACAGAGACCAATGAGTGGGGAGACAGAAAAAAATTAGAAAGCCTCATTTTTTTATACTATGGAATCCCATAGCAGTTCACTCTAAATGTCATGGGGTATTTTATGAACCTAGCTATATCTCTGGGTAGTACCTTTTATCCTTATCCTCAAAATGACAACAAAGGCAACTTTACAAATGTTTACTAATAGCAATCTACAAACAGCTACTAATAGATAATTAGATAATTGCAGGATTTTTATTCTTTGCATACCTTATCCCCCCCTCATCCAGCCCATTCATCTCACAATAATAATTTTCGCTAAGGGCAGATTAATCAATCTCCCTTTACTTCCTGAAACTCTGTGTCTGTCTCCTGGTACAGGTGCCGTGCACTTCATCTGAGGGGGGAAAATGCCTTTCCCCCTAGATCTAGCAAGATTTTGCAGTGTACAGATGAGAGATTTCTCAGGAAGGCACTGGTGATGTAGCCTTCCCAGGATGCATCTGTGAGGCCAGGACTACATCACCAGTGCCTCACTCAACCAGGAAGTGGAAAAACAGTAACTGTACATAAAATAAAAAAAAGTTTGTTAAGCTAATGAATGTATGATACTATCATATCAACATGCAGAGCTGTATGCTGAGGTTTAGTTAAATGGGATACATGTCTGCTTTAAGAACAGTAAAGAACAAATTAAATGTTTGTGGAAATATTTTAAATGATTTAGCAAAACTTTTTTTTTCAGTGCAATGATTCTGCTGTGCCTGAACTTGGGGACTTGGTTACTCTTCATATCATCAGCCAAGGCTAGTCCTGCAGATGAAAGTGCAGCAAGGCGAGGTCACACTGATCAAGGGGACTCAGCTTTGGATGAGAAACACCAGGATACCTATGGCACATTTGCTTCTGAATTTTATGACTTAAGATATCTTTCAGAAGAAGGTCCGTGATTTTACTTTTGTATTGAATGCATGTCAGAAAACTTAAAGTGTACCTCCAACCAATAATGTTACTTTTGTATTGAGTAGCATAGGAAAGGGTTAGACCTCCAGCCAAGTTTTTAATTCTGTCTGGGTAAACTTTCTGTCACTTCCTGTTCCAGTGACAGCAACCACTGAGGCATGAGATCTATTCAACTTGAGCTGGATTCAAAACACTCACTTTTAACAGAGATGTATACAGCATCTCTCATGTTTTATTGTTGTTTGCATTCCTATTGATAGACTTCCCCTTACTCATGGTGCACAACAAAAGGCACCATTTACTTGTTTTGGTTTGTTTTTAACTTTATTGGCAGTCTACAAAGTGCACACTCCATTAAAAAGTCACTGCAAAGCAGAGCGGTGGCCTAAGTGCACCAAAGAAAAATGCACTGCACATCACACCAGCATTGTGGTGGTCATGTTTTATACATACCAGCCAATGTGGTCATTTTTTCACAATGTGACTTGCTACATAGTTGCAATGTTGCAGTCTGCTCACTGGTGCAGCAGACTGATAAAATTTTCTTACCTGAGGCAAAGTAATTTGCCCCAAGCTCAAGCACTGCTTTTTAATGAGAAAAAGAACAGCTTGTTTAAAAAAATATATACCATTGCTGTATGTTGTGACATACGATTACAAAAAAGTAAAAAGAAAAAAAGTTTAGATTTATTTTTCTATTTTAATTCTGTAATTGTATCTGACAATTACAATATTAAAAAGATGGCACTCCAGATCCCACTGCAGCCTGAATGTGGCAGTGTTCATCTGCAGGCTGTGGGTTTTTGTTTTTCAAGAATACTGACAGCACAGTACAATGCAGCAGAATCTAATTGTGTTGGAGCATTGTCCTTACCTCTCCCAGTATGAACCTTACGGAGCAAAGAGCCCAGGAAGCTGATATCAAGACAAGTGCAAATAATAGTTACATGTAAAAATGTATTTATTTGATTCATTCATTTATGAAAGCATAATTGGGTAAAATTGTGTTTATTATGGGGTCTATTCACGAAGCTGCCGTAGCCTGAGGTTCGGCTCAGCCGATCCAGATGTTGGATTGGCTAAGTCGAACTCCTTCTGCACTTCGGGTCGGCCGACCCGAAGCCACTCGAAGCAAGCCGATGTACGGCTGATTTCAGCCGATGTACGGCTGAAATCAGCCGTACCAGCCTGAAGTGAATAGCCGAACAGTGTTCGGCTCACTTCACTTCAGATCGGTCATTCACTCGGCTGCCCTCGGCAGCTTTGTGAATAGACCCCTATATCTCCTTGGAGTCTGTGTGTGAGCATATTCAAAAATCCATTAAACCTAATAGTAGCAAATGTTTACAAAATATAGTCACCTGCACATGTGTGTAATTTGCACATTTACATACCTTGCCTGGGTTATTATTCATTATTATATTCATTTTTAAAAGCTTGTATACATTCTTTGTACTTTTAAAGCAAAGTCGTATTGCAATAAATCATATTACTGCTCAATAAACAACACAAATCTAACATATATATGGCAATTTTAAAGAAGAACTCCTGGTAATTTTTTTTCTTAACCTTTGTAGTGGGGCTACCCCCGCACTGCTAGTATTAGGATAAGTTTTCCCCAGAGTTCTGCTTTAAATGACTAGGGTCAAAGTTTATTTGTATCTTAATAAATAACTAGATGTATCACTGTAATGAACGGACCCTGCAGGGACCTGGTGTGGGTGGCCGACGCGGTCCTGCGCAGGTTGGGAGATACTTGTATGTTGTTAATGCATTACTATTGTCTGCTAGTACATACTTGAAACAATGCTTCAAACATACCTGCTGAGTATAACCCTAACCAGTGCATTACCGTTGTCTGCTATTACATACCTGAACCAGAGCTCCTACTCTCCTGCTGAGTATAACCTTAACCAGTACATTACTGTTGTCTGCTATTACATACTTGCCTGCTGTGTATAACCCTTTATCAGTTCATTACTGTTCCCAGCTGTATAAACGGTGATGTGTTGTAGCCTCCTAACCGCCTAAACTACAAAACTGGGCAATTCAGGGAGTAGCTACTAATCTGATACACGTTCCTATTAACCATTTCCGTCCGCAGTTGTGATCCACGGAGGCAACAGACCCTCGCCCAAGGCGAGCATTACAATCACTGCAATTAAAAACCAAATTTTTCTTCTGTTTTGTAGGATATCCTTTCCCCACTGCTCCTCCTGTAGATCCATTTGCAAGAATACGTGTGGATGACTGTGGCAAAACGAAAGGATGTTTTAGGTCAGTATCTGCTGTGTGATTTTTTTTTAGTATTTACACATTTGGGTACTGTTTGTTTACCATGCAAATATGTGTAGTAATGGCACTATAAATCACAGGGTATGTACAGGTATATTGTATGTACGGTATATGCCTTGAATAAAATGTTATCAGAACAGGTCCTCAGGAGAGTATTGAAAATAATTTATCATTCAAGTTTTTAAAAAAATGTGCATATCTTGTATCAAATGTTGACATATGAGCTTCAGTTTCACTTGAAGAAAACAAGAAGAAAGAAAACCATGTGCAAGCAGGTTCATCACATGACCTGAACACCAGGATCCATGCCCCTCCCCTTCCCTCCCATAAGGCCTGGTTCACACCTGAACGTTTTGTAGCGCGTTCAACGTTCGACGAACGCTCTACAAAATGCTCAAACATCTAAATCACATTGTATTCAATGGGTCTAGTTCACACCTTGCCATATTTCCGCCCGTCCGAACGCAATACAAAACGGCCTACGCCCAAAGAAGTACATGTACTTCTTTGGGGCGTTTTGGTCTCGCGTTTTCATTGGGATACAGCCAAGTAGCCTTCGGAAACGGGCGTTTGTCGTGCGGTTTTTTACCGCGAATCGCGGTAAAAACGTGCGACAAACGCGCATATTCAATACGCCTAGGTGTGAACCCAGCCTAATGCCTAAACCTATCTTTAGATGTGCTGGCTTTGTGACGTCAGCTTTAACAAATGTTTAAACTGATTTTAGCATGTAAGCAGTCAAGATGCAAGTTAGGGCACTCCAGTTTCTAAATGGACAAATATAAGTATCGATAACATTATCTGGAGTTTTTAGATGTGTCTTTGCACTGATTGGCAATAGCATGTGACAGTGGTGAGCCATTGAGTAATGGTGTGACTAAATAGCAGCAGAACCTTCACCCTTCTGTATGTATCTACAATAGGCTGCAATCAAATAACACCTGCCATTTGTACCTTTTTAAAACAATTTCCCCAATTAGCAACAATAAATTCCACACCATCATCAGCATCACCATTATAAACCCCCCAGCATCGTCATGATAAAGTCAAACAGCACATTTATAAACATCCAGCAGACTTTTATAAACTACTATTATCACCATTATAACCTCCATCAGTAAGTAACATTTTACATCTCAAACAAACCCACTAAAGACCTCTGCAGCCAGCTTCATTACAGCTTTAAACCCCCAGCAGCACCATTATAAACCTCCAGGAAGAAAACAGTTATAACTCATAGTAGCCAGCACCAATATAAGCCCCAGCAGCACCATTACAACCTCCAGCAGCCAAACCAATGTAAACTCTAGCCGCACCAATTTAAACTGCAACAACCACCAGAATTATAAACTTCCAGCAGCACCAAATTAACCCCCTGCAGCCACCACTATAAGCTAGCATCATTATAAAAGTAGCAGCCAGCCAGCATCAGTACAAATTTTCAGCAGTCAGCACCATTACAAACTCCCTGCAGCCTGGCAGTAGTATTATAAACACACGGCAGGACCGTTTGTTAATCTTATGAAACCGAAAAACGTATAACACTTCTATATGATGTCTATAGATAGCCTTCATCCAGTAGCGCTGAAAAGCAGATTTTAGGAATAGCATTACAGTAGGATATAATTTAGATACGTACTTTAATTCTTCATTGCAGATTACCATGTAGTGATTCTCTTGGAACAGCTAAAAAATGTAGTGTTGTAAATTACACTGAAGTATTTTTCAAATTTCAGGTATGGAAAACCAGGGTGTAATGCAGAGACCTGTGATTACTTTCTGAGCTATCGTCGTATTGGTGCTGATGTGGAGTTTGAGCTCAGTGCTGACACCGATGGATGGGTAGCTGTTGGGTTTTCTTCAGACAAAAAAATGGTAAAAAAACATGTTACATGTTGAATATGATATATGGTGTTATATTTTTATGTCATATTCATATTCTTGTTCTTACGGTGAAAAGTAGCTTCCGTTCTTGCTTGAAACTCATAAATGTGTTTAATT